GTGTAAGTGAATCACCAAAAACGAGACACACAAATGGATGTTAGTCAAATTTCTTCTTTTTGTAAGAAAAATGAAATTAAATACAATTTACTAAATAGATCTACAGAAATTCAATGTAGACTTAAAAGACAATACAATTCTTTGTATTCTATATAGTAAATATTTTTGAATCTCAGTGTAGGAAAAGAGATCAATGAAAAAAAATAAGCCTTTAGATACTCCTCCATGTATATAACCAATGTCTGTTTGGATGCTTATCCAATTCAGTGCTGACATAATTTTCTTGAATCTTCTGAGTTAGATTGATACTTATTGTACATGTAATCTGTGGCTTCCAGTTATCCACAACTATAACTTAATCTGGACTCTTGGAATCCATGTTTATATTTTTGGAGGAAAAAAATCATGTATCTGCATATGTACTTCATCTAATATGAAAAGAATGCCATAATCTTCATTTCTCAAATTCATTGCCAAATATTCACTTTTTGAATTTTTAAACACATAACGTAATAAACATGAAAATGTATGTTATATGGAATGCAGATAAAAATGTGCACATTATATAGGTAAATGCATTTTATTATGGAAAAAATGCAGGAAAATAAATATAGATATTTCTGTGATCTTTCTTGCAAAGTATTTTAAACAGATGCAGAAACAATGTGGCAGACTTTGTAGTTGGCAAAATAAGTCAGACAAAAGCAGAACAACAAACTCTTCCATCCCTATCTTTGAAATTGAAGCACCAATAATATATTGGCCATAAATATAGCTACAATCCTGTCAAATATTTCAAAGATTTGAATTCAGTGTATCTCTTCATTCATAACTTTTGCAATTCCAACTTCATTGTGCTATTGCAGTCCTAGCTATGAAATCATAACACAAGCCAGACATAGTTTCGTACATTGTTTCCAGTATAACAGCTGTTCTCAAAGGATTGGAAATGAGGAAATCCAGGATTCTCTTAAAATGTAAATTTCATTCAGTGTTTCATTAAACTGTAAATCATGAAAAATGCATAACAAAGAAACAGTATCAGTATAACCGAATTTGTGACATTTGTAATTTTGGAAGAAAATGGATTGTTGGTAGGCTGAAACTCTGCTATATATGAATTATGCAGAGATAGATCAACGGAAAATAAGTCTACCCCCACTAATACTAAGGTTGTCTAGTTGCTGAGATCAGTATGCAAGTGTGATACAGGATTTGTCCAACAGTTGTAGCCTTTTAAAATAATAAGCCATCATTTCTGTCATGGCATGACCTCTGCCACTTGTTATGTTCATATGCAGTTACCAGTGAACCTATTGATCAAGAGAGCTTGATATTAACTACTCCAGCTAAAGAAGAAGAAGGGGTCTTCCCAGGCATGTAGTCTAAAATTCTTGCTGGTGAGAGCATCTTGAGAGCTGGTTGATATGTCTGTGTGCTTGCAGGTTTTGTGCTGGGATAACAATAAATTTGCAGTGTTTAATGCAAATAGGATCTTCATTCAGCTGAATAGTTTTTATATAATAATAATAATAATAATAATAATAATAATAATAATAATTATTATTATTAATATTATTATTATTATTATTATTATTATTATTATTATTATTATTATTATTTTATTTATATACTGCCCTTCTCCCGAAGGACTCGGGCGGTGTACAGCCAAGATTAAAAACATAAATATACAATATCATAGTTAAAATTAATTAAAATCATTAAATAGTTTTGGCCAAATTTTAAAAACCCAATATTAAAACCCAATTTAAAACCATTCAGTTAGACAGCCCCGCCTGTTGGAACAGTAGGGTCTTGAGGGCACAGCAATATATAGTTACTGCATGTGATAGAAAACTGGATCCAAATTGAGGAATTCAGAAAGACAGACATTATGTTCCCAATGATGGGCTCACAGTGTAAATTCATTGTATAACTTTGTTTGTTTTATTAATAAGATAAGTAAGATTGTATCAGATAAGATATAGCATTTTTCCAGTAGGCAATGCCATTCACATTTTGAGGTACTGAGGGTGCAAATGTCACCGTGTTTATTGAAGTTATTCTTCTCTTGCCCTACAAAAAAAGCAAACTTTCCTTGTATAAATAAGCTTTGATTTCCTACTGAATATTAATATTTTTCAAAAATAAACAGGAAGTGTCTGATTCAATTACAGTACAGTGATCTATAGATAAAATACATGGTGATGTTTTTTTCTTTATAGAATTGTCAAATTTATATTTTACCCCTTCTAACAAGCCAATCTGACAATTTTCAAATAATAATAACAAATCAGTATCATAAATGTACTATGATTTATTTATTTATTTATTTATTTCAATTTGTATACCGCCCTTCTCCTAGTGGACTCAGGGCGGTGAACAGCCAGAACTAAAACACATGCCAATACAAAATTTAAAATTATTAAAAGAATTACATAACTGGCCCAATTTAAAACAATTCAATTAAAACGCAATGACAATTTAAAACTAAAAAACTAAAAAACTAAAAAAGGGGGAAGGGGTTCACGCTAGCCCTGCTTGATGGAAAAGAAAAGTTTTCAGGGCACGGCGAAAGACCGGGAGATCCGATATCCTTCGTATCTCCGGGGTCAAATCGTTCCAGAGGGCAGGAGCTGCCACAGAGAAGGCCCTCCCCCTGGGGGTCACCAGCCGACATTGCCTGGCTGACGGCACCCTGAGGAGTCCCTCTCTGTAGGCACGTACTGGTCGGTGGGAGGCTATCGGCGGCAGAAGGCGGTCCTGCAAATTTGTGGCCTCCATGGCAATTATGAACCTGCCCCAAGTCATTGTTGGCCCAATGCATATTGGGAAGTTCAAAGTTAGATGTATCTTATTTCTAAGACAATTGAGAAATGATCTGGTTTTGGAGAGCATTTGTATCAATCCTTTGCTGTGGACAGATCACTTTCCAATTGTTTATTGTTTATCATTACCTTAAAGATACAGCCCAGACAAGTGATGAACCTGCCTGCAATCTAAAAGAAACATGGAGTTATCCCAAAGGGTCCAGTGGACATTTCAGCTGAGGCCTTAGATACAACCTGTAATAGACAGGTAGAGATTACCTTTACTTGGATTGCCCCATGCAGATTGAATCCCTCTCCATCAATCCCAGCAGACATCTTGGACTTCTGAAACCTCTGGGAGATGAAGTGTAGGAAGAGACACTTGGAGTACTATTGAAGAAAGATAAAAAATTAATCCAATTGAGTACAAATAAGAACCCATATTAGGTATTACATCACAGTAACAATGTTATTGTTGTTTAATGTTATGACTGTATTGCACCTGCCAACAGCTTCTGGCATTATTAAAAGTAACCCAAATCCTGTTGGGAAGGGACAGGTAGCAGGATCTTCTGTGAGGAATATTCTTACTATTTGTGAGATGAAGGTTATTCAGATTTGTTTGCAATTGGATTCTGACTTTTCAAGTCTAAATAAGCGGCCTGAAGCAAGATCTTGGGAATTTTCTGAGAGCTTTAATTTGTGACTCCTAAGGAAGTGGCTTAGGATTCTCCAGCTTGTTGACCTAGTGGCCTGTTAGATCATCCTTGTCCTAGATGATGAAAGCCACCTGGGGGATGACCTATGATTGGGTCTGTGGGGTGATGTTGGTTTCCTTAAGTGAGAAGGTGATTCCTTTGGTTTTCAGAGAGGGTGTGATATTTCTTTTCCTGGACCCAATGACTGTGAACAATTATTGTCCAAACTCCAGATTTCCCTTATTAGGGAAGATTATAAAGAAGATAGTCAGGCTTTAGTTCCAAAGATCCCTTTACGAAGCAGATTATCTTAATTAAAAGATTTATCTGGGTTTCAGGCTAAGATTTAGTATGGAGACAGCATTGGCCATGCTTGTTCATGATCTGTAATGAAGCTGGAATTAGATGGTACTGTAATGATACATTCATCCTGGTGCTCATTTTTTCAATTGCTTTCAATACTGACAGTCACAGTAATCCTTAGATCAGTTTCAGAGTTGGAAGTAGGAGGTCCCAGATTGTGGTAGTGGTCTTAATCTGTGGCCAGTTTCAATAGTGTTGACGGTGGGGAGAAATTGCAGCTGTAGCTACTTGCTTGTAGAGTGCTGCAAAATTCCATACTCTTTCTCCTTCTTAAGATCTACATAAAATGCTGGAAGAGATCATTCCTTAATTTGGAGTCAGGTACCATCAGTAAACATCTTGACCTTGGGCTGCCAAGTGACAGACACTGTTGAAGTCGTAGCCCAGTGCCTGGAGCCTGTACATATCTTGGAACTTAGACTTAAAATAGACTTATTTAGACTAAAATAGACTTAATTCCGAAAAGACCAGACTGCAACATTCACAATTTTTGGCTCAGAGGCATCTTTAGAAATAAATATTATACTTGAGATATGACTTTTCTTTACATTATTTTAGCTTCCTATTTTTTTATTTTAATTAAACGTATTTTTGAAAAACAAAAGCAAGACAGTGTAGGGTTCCCACAGAGAACCAAGATGGGGCTGCTGGGTTCATTGAAACTCATGGGCCCTTTTTGAGTACTTCAAACCCAGACTTTGCATTCAGACATACTTTCATCTACCGGTGTATGAAATAGTATCTTAAGAGATAGCCTGAGAAAAACCTCTTCCTTAAACCTAGTGATTTCTGTGTATTGTGAGTTAGAATGATAATCATAGTTTTGTACCATCATATTTGGAGAACATCTATTGTTCAATCGTAGAAAACATAGTTCAAACTCCAGGGTTCAGTCCTTTGCAATTCTATTTAAAAGATTTCAGGACTACAGAAACATCTGCACAGGTTATCAGAGTTTATTTATAATAACGGTGAGTGTTACATTAAATTTAAAAAAGTGCTATACAGTCCACAGCAATCCTAACAAAAAAAGAAGAAGAAAGATTTTAGATATAAAAAGTGCAATATATCTTTGGTAAAGGTTTCCCCTATCCAGTTGTTTCTGACAGTACTTATCTTCATTTCTTAGCCAAGGGAACCAGCATTGTCTGAAAACACTTCTGTAGTCATATGGCCAGCTTGACTATATGCCGATGCGAATGGAATCCTGTTTTCTTCCCACCAAAATGGTACCTATTTATCTACTCTCATTTCCATGCTTTCAAATTGCTAGGTGAGCAGGAGCTGGTGCGAGGACTGGAGTTCACCCTATCGCATGTGTTCACGTCTTGAATCCTGGGCTGTCAGCTTTCCAAATGATAAGCTTAATGTTTTTAACTTCTAAGCCATTGCTCTACAGTACAAAACAACTTAAATCATGTTTTATTGACTAAGCTACATTTAACTAGATTCACATTATAATTTTATAAACCAGGATTGTAAAAAATGAATTCTATTTTTTCACCACCTCAGTAGAAAACAATGTCATTCATTCAGACATTGGCTTAAGGTTTTGTGTATGTACAATTTGCAAATATGTAAAGTCAAACATTTTGCCATTTTTCCAAGTATGATGTGATCAAGAAACTCCATATGGAATTATTATTTATTATACACTCCGCTAAAACATCTTGCACTCAGAAAAATAAACCAGCATCCTACTGCAGCATCCTATTAGCACTGTTATTACAGTGAATACATACCTTCAGCTAGAAAGCTAGAGATGCCACCTAATATTAGCACACAGAACCTAAAGAAGCATACTGTTTACAAATAATATTCTGACAATTTTCTTTTAAAAATGCAAGCTTTTTCTAAGTAATAGCTATAGTTACAGTATTACATCTTACTGTTTTTTGCTATGTATTTGTTTACAATGGTGCACTAAAACAGATGCAGGCAACAAACCCATTGTAAGAAACAGCTACTCTCATTAGAACAAGCAGAAAGACAAGTCTGAATTTGAGTTAAAAAAATATTTTAGGATGCTGCTATAGTAAGGAGTCTGATTTTGCTCCAGTTCTTGTATTTATTTTGATCATTAAGTAATATATGTTCCAGCTAAGAAATGCACTCATCATTTGAAATGTCCTTGTAGTGTTTATAATCTGCATATATACACAGAGAGAAAGATTTTTAAAAACCTTAAAAATTTTGAAGGATTATTCATTACTTGCAGTTTCTGATATCTGCTCAATTTCTACAGTTATTTACTATGTAAAACACAAGGATAGTCATTGATATGCTGAATTCAAAATATGTGTATATTTCTATTTTTCCCACACACTAATACACAAACAGAGAACAGAACATACATTAGGAGAGAGACAATCCCTGACCAACTACTTAGAAAAACAGTACAATTCAGGCTAAGAAGAATTACTGTCTAGCGGATGCAATTTCTCTCTAGTTTAAACAGCAGCTGCGTTTTTGTAAAATCCTATGAATGTGGCAGACCTATCTAAAGGTAGAAGAAAAAGAACACCCCTTGTTTTGTAATAAGGGGATTTTCAATTTAAAAGCGAGAGAGGGCCTGTTGTGTGAAGTATGGTTATTACATTCATTGTATTCTGTCTCGCTCACTAGGAGGCTAATAATGAAGGAGTCAGTAAAAGAGCCAGTGTGCCATGAGAGTTATCTCATGGCCCCAGATGCTGGATAAGTTGAAGAAGGCAAAAATCACTTCTGGATGACATTCAGGTCTGAATGATGATTTGAAGAAGAAAAGACTATTATTTCCAAGGTAAACAGGCTGTTTCATCCATCAGCAGTATATAACGGTCTAAAATATGTTTACATACAGACTTAGAAAGTTCACTTTATCACAGATTTTTTTCTCTCTCTCTGACAGCTTCAGCAATATATTCCTGAAACAAAAGATCCACTTCAGACTCTGCCACACCTAAAAGGAAGCTTTGAAGAAATTGCCAGGCTCAAGTATGATGAGAGAATTACCCACAAAGCAGAAAATGAAAAAAAGGCACATAAATACTGTGGATACTTCTGTAAAGTGCCAAAGATCTGGTTCAAAAATGGTCTCACAAGGTGAATATTCTTAGAGGTTACTTGTGGCATTGAAATCCAACAATAGTTTTCTCTTTTAGGAGCTAAGAATTTAAGCATATTTACACCAGCATATTTCTAGACTAAAAGGCTATCAGAACATTTGTCACCATGTTGACAGGGAGATATCATCCTTATGCTGTTTTATGGCAATTAATTTAATATATGCAAATGTGCACAAGTAGCCCTCAGAAGGCTCTCAGAGTGAGAGACTTAATAAATGTGTGTGCCTATGTGAATGTGTGTATGTGTCTTTGTACATGTCTTTGCTTCTTTGTGGTAATGTTTGTGTTGTTTACAGACTACATTTTTCAAAAGGAGGCTTAGAGTTATATTGTAGTTTCAAGTTTTCCTAAAACAAGTGAAATACATAAGTGCGTATAAGTTGAGCTTTGAGACTGAATTTTAATCTTTAATACACGTGTAGCAAGAACATGTAAATGACATACCTGACAATATGTTAAATCAGTTTTCAGTGAAGCCAGAAAATTGCACTGATTTTTTTTCCACAAATGTTTTGTCCACATAATCAGAACAAGCTTTTTGACATCCTATTTGGAAGATACTATTTTTTATTTTTTGTGAAATATGCAGCCAATTCCTCCTTAATAAATAAAGGAGGCTGCTTTTTATGGTTAGTGTCCTATAGGTTTTTGTGTTCTCCTTTTCATTTCAGGCTGCAGTTGAGAGAAATAATTTCTTTCCTTCCCTTAAAAAAGGCTGACATTGCAGCGTAAAAGTATTGAAATAAAACTTTAACCAAGGGCTATATTTCTCAAATCGACCCCAAGAATGAAACAATTGAATTGCCTAAGATCCTATTTTTGGTTCGGAATTTTGTTTGGCCAAACTGAAGTACAAAACCCACAAAAGTTATCTCTTTTCCTTCTCTTGCCAAAGGAAAAAAAAGAAGAAGTTTCTTGAATCTATCTAAGCCATGTAATATCACCATGCCAACCTAGGATTAATCTTTAAAAGAAGGAAACCCAAGCTGGAATGAGAACACTGGACAGTTCTTTTTCCTGCTGATTTCCATGAAAATGTTTAAAATGAGCTTAAGTCTCTTTATTGAAGTTCATGAATTTAGAAATACAGGAATTAGATTTGTTTCCTGACATTTTTTTATGAATCTTATGACATTGTATTGTAAAATATGATTGATAATTTTTAAAAATAGTACCACTAACATAGATCTAACAGTGGGTTAACTTTCATAAACTACATAAGGTGCTTAAAATGAAATAAAAATAATATTTTAGAACATTAATATTTTAGACCATAATATAATCCAATATTATAAATAATTGGCTTATCAGGAATAAATGTTCCTCATCCAGCTCTTGCCCATCTAGCAGTTTGGAAAGAATGAAAATGCAATTAGATGAATAAGTACCATTATGGTGGGAAGGTAACAGCGTTCATATGCCTTAGGGTATAGTTATGTTGGCCACATGACCACAGAAACATCTTCGGACAACACTGGCTCCCTCAGCAAAGAAACAGAGATGAGTACTGCCCCCTACAGTAATACATGACTAGATGGGGGGAATCTTTACCTTTTTTTCAACCTTTATCCTATAAAACAAGGATGAAAAATTATGTCCCTTCCCTTGTATCTAATGCCATTGATCTGGTGGATTAGTAATTCAGCAGTTGCTAAAGAACTTCTGCTTTTAAAAAATAATAGAATTGTAAAACAGCAGGATTTTGGAGAGTGAAATGGCAGGAACCTTGGAAAGCATCTAGCAACTAGCATTTAGTGCAGTAAGTTTGTGCAATAAGTTTGTAGTTTGTTATTAGCATCCCAAACAAAATAAAATAATATACAGAAAGATGAAGTCTTTGTCCATATTTAAAACATATTGAATATTTTTGGGAGTGCATTAATCTGGACCTAATCAGTGACTGCCAAAATGCAGTTGAATGAAAATGAAATAAGGTTTCATATGCAGTCTTTAAATCATTTGCATGTTTTATGCATGATAATTTAATTTATTTATGCACTACCTTTCATTTATGAATTTCCTGTTCTCACTTGTATTAATCATATTGTGCTAGACAAGAAATAGATTTGATAGGCAGCCAGAGAAGAGTAAGAAAACAATAAAATGGAGTAGATTTTCCATTGTAATTATTAACAACAATTAACAAGATAATTATTTTGCTAAGGTTAGTATCAGTTATTTTATTTAAAGTATTACAGATTCTTTGAAGCATTTTAGATATTCTTTAGCACATGCTGTATAGAAAGGTAAAAAGAAAATTATTTCCAATGATATTGAACGTAAGACCTTTTCTTTTCAATGAACATAAAGACCTATGTCATTGGACTATTAGCAGGAAAAACACATAGTAATTGATTCTTTGAAGTACTTTATTGTAGAATTTATGAAGTCATAGCTTGATTTTGAAAACAACAGCTTTATTTCTTTATTGTCCAGCAGGATAGGTAGGTGCTAGAATTTTCATGGATTTGGATATAGATGAAGGTGCCATGTGGTATGTTTGAAAGTAATATATTTTCATCTCAGCATTATGACTTCTGTGTAAATCAGAAGTGCTTTAGTTCATCTTTTTTGATTCCAAGTGTGTGAAATTTGAGCCAGCAAGACCATTGGTTATACTGACTGGCGATTTGAAAGCCATAGACAAAAGACATTTGGAGAGCTCCACATTGAGAAAAGCCTCTTTAGTGTATCTATAGGGTTGTTGTCTGAGTAGCACCCTCTGACTCAAATGTTTGAGTTGTTTGCAGTGTCCATTTAAGGAAACTAAACAGGAAAAAGTTTAGGATGCTTACAAGTTTCCAAGGATATGTTTGTAGTTGTTTTGTCTTTTGTATGTCTGTTCTAGTGCTATTTTTTTGTGGTGTCCTGTCTATTCAGTGAATTCAGTGGTTGTGTGTGGTGACTGTCCCCCTATCTGTTCAGTTAGCAATCTCTCTGAAGCCTAAATTGCTGTTAATTTGTGACAGAGCGCTTTTTAAACAACTGCAATATAGTTTTGAAATGTTGAATAATGTAGCATGAAATTCTCAGTTAGTTTGGAAATGATTGTGAAATCATGTGAAGAAAATCAGTATGGCATCTGATCAAGATAAATTCACTCTAGTGTTTTATGGCTTTTTATTCCTATGTGATAGTAATAAAGTCTCATGTAGGGATGGAAGCCATGAAATACATTGTGAAAAATCATCAACTAAGATGAGCCATCAGAATAGAATCATTATAGGACTAGAACTGCTAACGATGATTGAAAATGGAGTATTTGTTTTGTTGCCTTTTATGTTTGCACTGTTTCTTCATTGCTTCATTCTTAGAGTTGGAAAGATAGGGAAATAGTTTGTAATGAAATAATTCATTTTTAAGTCAGCATCAACGTTTCATATTTTAATACATATTTAATTTTGGTTATTAAAATGAACACTGTGCATGAAACACTGAATTATGTATTCTATTGATCAAATAAACCATTAATGGTATTTATCAGGTCCAGGTTTCTTTACTCCCATACTCCGGAAATGATCCTGAACTGAAGCAACAATTCCATCATGGTGTATTGACATGATTTTTCCCCCAAATTAATACTCTGCTCTTTCTGACATTATATTTATTCTGGGAAGCAGTGGTTTGGGAACAGTAGAACAATTGCATAGGAAGTAAAGTGCAGCTACTTCATTATGCTTGCACTTCTTTGAACGCATGATTTGAATGACATTTGAAATAACTATTCCACAATTTCTCCAACATTGCTGAAATCATGCTTGGACAGATTATTAAAAGAGGATATCTTACATGTTCCTTATCATATGCTCAATGCAAACGATATCATAATATATGTGATATATGTGATTCTGTTTCTAGATACTGACTAGGATACATTTAGATACAGTAATCCGTCTTGTTACAAGTATAGAACCCACCTCCCCACCTTTTTTACATCTACTTTTTGTCATACCTACAGAAACTATAGGACTGAATTTGAAAAGCGTCTCCATCTCCTATTGTTTCCCGCAATTAAAAAACTCACCAATTTTATTTCCACATGTCTTTCCATAGTCGATTGTTTTGATTAATTGAATATCCTGAATTGAAATATGTTTTGTATTGCATAACACAAAACAGTTTAGAATCAAATCTTATAATTATTAACATAATATTTTCTGAGAGGTATGTATCACCTTGATTTCAATGAGACCTACTCCTTAGTTAGGACATTTAAAATGGGAGCCTGAATATATGTACATATTTATATTCACATTCTTTATATATAACAGCATAGTTGACCCAGTGTGCTGCTGTATTACAGGATCTTGGTACCTGTGTGTGTGGATGTGTGTGTGTGGTGATGATGATGATGATAGTAATGACGGTCATATACTGATTATATTGCTAATAGTAATGAGGTGTTAATAATAACATATGTGCTGATGAGGTTACCTAGTTTGGGTAATGAAATATCTGCAAGAAAAGAACCAAACTTAGAAAGTTCCAAGGAACCCTCATTTTAACTCTGAGCTACAAATATTTTTCTTTATTGGATGATAGTAATCTTTTCCTAATGCAAATCCAACTCCTATAGTGCTATTTTTCATAGAAAAGAAAGTATTCTGAGTATTCCTTATCATTTCTCTTCTGAATAAATGTTCTGTAGCTTTAGGACCATAATTTTCATTGGGAAAAGGCTTATTTTGTTATGAAGAAAGAATACTAGAGCCCAATTAAGTGCATCTCCCAACAGTTTCCTATTTAGTTTCAAATAAGTTTTTCTAAGGTGAATATATTTAATGAAACAAAATGAAACAAATTCTTTATTAAACTACCGGTAGAACAATTCCTTGAAGTGAAACATATGAACAATATACTGCTATTTTCATGTGTGCATATTAGAAATGAGGAAAAGGGACATAATTCACAATAATTGTAAATCTGTTTAGAAGTGTGGCTGTAAGTCTTTTAGGACTAAAGTGCCCTAATGCTGTCACTTGCTGTGATGCAAAAGTGACTTTATAACCAATTGTCTCTATTCCAGTTACACAATAGTGGAAATTAAGCAGCCATTATCCTTTCTGTTTCGACAGCCAAAGTATGATTCAGAGGAATAGGAAGATTTTAGCATAGAGGAATGCAAGTATTTTCATGAATAAATAATGGAAGCTTCTCTGTCTCAGCTTACTTGTGGATATTCTCAAATTCTTTTTTCTTCTTTTCTCTCTCTTTAATTTAGATCCATTGACTCTCAACAAAACCTGAGACGGAATTGCTCCAGTTAAGTGAACTAGGTATCAAATTACAGATGAACTAACTGTCTACTTTTGTCAATATTAAGAGTTATGCTGCACAATATTCAAGGACACATCTTTACTTCACCATGTTGCCTTTCATCTTTGAAGCTGTTTAATTCATCTGAAGATAAAGATACCATGCAGCTTATATGCTATGAAAGTTATTTCTCGAATGCGTAACAGAAAATCACCACCACAAGACGTTTTGTGGCCATCCGCTAATTTATTACTTTTTATAGTTGCATAGAATGATGGGAGGAACCAGGACGAGCCTTTCCATTAGACTGATTGATCTGATCATTTCAGGTGATGGTGAGGAAGGATAAGGCATTGCTCCAAAGCCAAACTCATTTGTTTACCTGGTTTATCTACCAGCCAGCAGCACACTGGCACTTCTCGCTAACAGGTTCCTCCCACACTCTCTGCTAAGGTCAGTGTCTTGTTCTAGAATGACAAACTAGGCAGTGATATTCCTTTCATCCTTTTCCAGGCTGAAATTCCTTGTTCCGAATACTTCTCAATGAGGCATTGAGAGCTAGGTATAAAGCAGCACAGATGACTAGTTTCCACTGTGCCTTGTTCTGAACACTTGGCAAATGTTTGCTTGACCTTACCCTGCCACAGTTAAGAACTATAGATTATTATATATATTAATATTAATAATAGTATATTACTATTATATTTTAGTACGGACTCTACTGAAATAAGAGCCATTTTTCATTTTCTTCTCTTTTCCTTATAACATCTGTGCATATAGTTAAAATTTCTTCTGTGTGGTTTAGAACAGAATTTGCAACTATGATAGTTTATCAGGAGATATTCTTTGGAAGTGCTCTAAGGATGTGCATGCCTTCAAAAGGAAATTAGTTGAAAAGGCTTAAATTTCAACATTGGATCATGAGTATAACTTATCCTGCAGATTGTTTGTTTGAACTGCATAAGTGTAAGCCAGGAACACCAGTAAGTGAAATACAGCAGTACATTTTGTTCTGTGAATAGCAGGTATAACAAGGAATCGTGCTTTATAGCACTCTTCACTTGTTATTTAATATCCTAGTGAATTACAATAATTTATGACCATGGAACTTAGCTGTGCAATGACCTTGAAGGACTGAGAGAATGCGAGGAATGTTCTTTTTGAAGAAATAAATACAAATGCAAAGCCTTCAACCCTTCCTATATTCAAGAAGTGCAAGGATTTTTAATTTGGCCAAGCTGTATGAAATAATATATTTTGAAAAAAATGTTTTAAAATTATAGGTAAAGGTAAAGGTTCCCCTTGCACATATGTGCTAGTCGTTCCCGACTCTAGGGGGCGGTGCTCATCTCCATTTCAAAGCTGAAGAGCCAGTGCTGTCCAAAGACATCTCCATGGTCATGTGGCCGACATGACTAAATGCCAAATGCGCATGGAACGCATTCTTTATAATTCTTAAAATTATAAAGAATGCCCAAATTACCACAATTACTATAAGCTGTTGTAAATTGATATTATAGGTATTATTCCAATTAAGAAAACATATTTAATATGTACAACTTGTTATTGAAAAAAATGCATAATATTCAAAGCCTAGATCCCTCTCTCATGAGCCAGGTTTTAAAGCTCAGATTGTTTTTCAGTTTTCTAAATTCTCTTCTCTAAAATACTGTCTGTTCTCTTATTTATTTAATAAATACAACTATTGTTGACTTTTGAATTGTAAACTATTTTCTCCCGTTATCTTTAATTATGTAATAATTTATAACTTTGAAATAAATGTATTTTTATGGAATCCAGCCAGTGTATTTTTACAATAAATAATATTTCTATTAAATACAAACAATGTATTGCTGTTAAGCTTAATTATATAAGCAGAACTTTGTGAGGTAGGCAATACCAAAGGTATCTATAGAAAACCATTCCTCTGACTTTCTCCTGACATCTCTCAGCCAGAAGATGATGAACTCAAGTGTAAAGTGACTTACCTAGCCATTAATACGAATATACATTAATATTAATATAATATTTATATTATGTTCTTCTGCAAGTTACACAAGTTTGCCCTATTCAAGGGACTAATATTATTTTATACTCTACTCAAATACATTTATTGAAATGTGGTGTCTGTGAGATATAAAAAAGGTTGCATATTCAATAGGCACATATTCCTCTTCCTTTTATGCCTTCAAAGACAGCAGGTAGGAGACTGAGAAGAAAAATGCAACCGGCAATGATACTAGGAAAGTGCCAGTCAGTTCGTCCAGTTGAAGCAACCATTGCAAAAGAGGACAGTTAGAGCAAAAGCTGACTTGGGACCAACAGTAGAGGAAGAGGTGGTAGAGCAGTTGTTCCTCAATCATACCCTTCTCCCTTCTGCATTGCCCTTCAGTTATATTCTCACTTCAATCCTATTATTAAACATTCAAGTAGGTATAGTCACTTCCGTGAAGATCTTTATTCAATAATCTGTAGTAGATCTGATGCTTAAAATGAAAGTGGAATATTCAGTCAGAGATTCTTCCAGTTTGAGGAGGTGGGGGAGAGAATTGAAGAAGAATATGAGGAAAAATGACAAAATTATGTGATATTTATTTATTTTATTCATTCATTCATTCATTCATTCATCCATCCATCCATCCATCCATCCATCCATCCATCCATTCATTCATTCTGTATTTTACAAATAAGGCAAAATATCTAACACACCTTCCTCCTCCTATTTTCCCCACTACAACAACCCTGTGAGGTAGGTAGGGCTGAGAAAGTGTGACTGACCAATACCAGACAGATGGCTTTCATGGCTAAGGCAGAAATTGAAATGGTTTCCTGTTTTCTAGCCCAACCCTAAGCCTAATCCTTGTTTTAGCCACTAGACCAAACTGCCTTTATTTTTATACTTGATTTTTTTGTGAAAACTTCCACATAGTTTTAGGAATTATATTAAAGATTTCTAGAAGTGTTATCACCATTTGACTAGTTTGTGTCTAGAGATAAAAAGTCTTAACCTGATATTTGCTAATGCCATGAAATAACTATTGCACATGTCCTCTCAACTTGTTTTTAAAGTATATGACTGAAAGTTGGAATAACAGTCTTTTCAGTCACTCACACTAGTTTGGGTTGTGAAGTAACTTGGATGTACATTTGAACCCTTGAGCTTTGCTTTCTTTAAACTTTACAAATACTCCACTGTTGGGGTTTTCTTCTGCGATTGTAGAAAGATCACTTGAAAGCCTGAAAGAAAGCAGTTGGGGTTCAACAGATGGCAAAGATTCAATGCAATTTGACAGATTACTTCTACTGTAAGATATTGTTTCTCACTGCTGCAGCTCTGCTTCAAGAGATTCCACACAATAAGAAAACTGATTAAAGAAATGTTCTGTACCAAGGAGCTGTCAAGCCATAAACTTACACACATTATGAATATGTGTAATAATACTTCATTTTAACACTTTCTCGGAAATTAATTAAAGGAATCCTTAAGAAGCACCTGGTTTGTATGGTTACATTTAATCCATTCCTCCTGTTATATTTAAATTGCTATTTAGTGGCATTTTTAGAGATATCCTGAGGACTGCAATCAAGGTTTTCAGGGACTTCACGCAATCTCAAATTCTATACCTCCACTACCCTATTGTGGCATAAAAAGTAGTGCATATGATTCCTGCTTTGCCACTTTCAGATATAAGTATGGAAACAAGTGTTTACAAGTTAGATAAATCATTTTTTCTCTCTAATGAACCAACCTTTTTTTTTTTGATCGGAACTATGAAGGAGAAAACCACATCCCACCAAGATTGGAAACACAACTATCATTTATAAACAGGGAACAAACCCCACACTCAGTAATAATAGAGTTACCTAGTTGGGTACTGAAATGTCTGCAAGCAAAAAACCAATGTCAGAGAGCACCAAGGACTCCACAGTATCATAAAGTGACTAACAGAAGTAGATCAAGTATTGTCTTGAAGAAGGCCTATTAAATGGATTATTTTCATTCCACCTTCCTAGAATTAGGCTCAACACTAATGCCTGGTCATCAGATATTTAGCAATCATGGTCTTAGACTGTTGCTGCTTAGTACCAGAACAGCCTTTAATAGGGTATTCATTATCCACAATTTTGTCATGGATGGCAGAGTCAATCTGGAATGTATTAAAACACAGATGGGCATGGACAGGTGGTGAAAATCCTTTCTCAGAAATGTCTCCACCAGGATTTGAAGTACACATGAATTGTGGCCCAGAACTAGAGTGTGGGAGTGGTTATTATCTTGGAAGCTCTTGGTGCTTCTAAAGATGCTTGATGAAAGACCTTGCTTTTGAAATTGGGTTCTATGGAACAGATGGGATTGCTGCTATTTCCTTCTGTGTAGCAGTTGAGTTGCTTAACTTTGTGGCTGGGTTGAAAGTGAAACTTCTCAGACTGGGTCCTGGAAGGTTTCAGTCTGCCTTCTTGGTTATAGAGTCTGGAGCAGCTTGGAAATTCATTACTATCTTGGCAATGTGGACCTAATGATTGAGAACTTAATACAATAGGAGTCATATGTTGGGTGTGGACTTTGTCTTGGATAAAGGACAATGTGATATGGGAATGAAGTGTGTTATTTGTCCCTTGTCAAAGCCATATCACTCTAAAATGTTCTGTACTGCTTCTCCTTCAGGGACAACTTATTTGTTTGGTCCATCCCTTTGCCTGATGAACCATACTCAGTTTCAGAGGGTGCTTGGAGAAGTATATGAGGAATCTGTTGCATACCTGGACTGAGGCCTTAGTTATAAATTACAAAGTTATATTAGTTATATAGAGATTATATTAATCCATTTCAGGTTTCAGGTCTGAAACATCATTGATTGGGATGTCTGTGTATCCTGGCCTTTCTTAATTTCATAGCAGCTTTCAATATCACCAATGATGGCATTCATTTGGAGTGGCCCAGGCAGTTAGATGTAGAAGGCACAATGTTTCAATGTTTTTCTTCTCCTGGGACCTTTTCTAGTCAGTGATGGATAGAGATCTAGCCCTCAAACTTTGCTTTGCAGGATACCTCATGATTTCATGTTTACTTTCCTCCCATTAATATATTCAGCCATTTTCCCCAGAAGCCCCAAAATATATGTGTTTTTGATCTCAGGAACTTTAAAAGCCAGCCCTGCTATGGAAAATTAGTCTCTGCAAACATAAAATGCATGAATTTGGGAATGCTGCAGTCAGCATCTATAAAAATTAGGGAATCCTGCTTCTGTTGAAGAGTGAAGCCTCTCTCAGGTATCCAAATTTATCTTTTTTTATTTTTACATCAATAGTTATGCAGAAAAGAACCATGAAGTGATTGCAATCATGACACATACTTATTACAGTAAGATTAGTGTCATTGTTTAACTTTCAAATTATAAAATTTAATACATGCTTAGTTATCATTGGTAGATCTGCTGTGGTGGTGCAGTGGAACCATGATGGCACAGTAGTTAGAATGCAGTACTGCAGGCTACTGCTGACTGCCAACTGCCAGCAGTTTGGCAGTTTGAGTCTCACCGGCTCAAGGTTGACTCAGCCTTCCATCCTTCTGAGGTTGGTAAAATGAGGACCCAGACTGTTGGGTGCAATATGCTGACTCTGTAAACAGCATAGAGAGGGCTGTAAAGCACTGTGAAGTGGTATATAAGTCCAAGTGCTATTGCTATTGCTATCATTGGAAGATCTGCTTCCAAATCAAAGTTTTAAGGGTGGTATTATTATTATTATTATTATTATTATTATTATTATTATTATTATTATTATTATATTTTGTTTACATAATTATTTACAATGTTAATACACACACACATACATACATATAAAGGAATTACTGTGTCTTAAATACGATTTCCCGATGTTGCCATACAAAGTATGAAGGAGATTACATCTGAAAGGCAAACCTTTTTTATCTACATCACTCAATAATGATGGAAGAATTGAGCCATATGAACATTTCTAACTAAAATGTTTTTAACACTTGATTGCTGGCATTTTCTAAACAAATGAATGCTTGAATGGATATATGTGTATGCCTATAATATCCGGAAGGCTAATCACAATCTTTAACTTCAATTTTCTATGGTCCACTGTTGTCAATGGGAAAAGAAAATGACTTGATGCTTAGTATTTATGTAGACAACTTAATGGTCCAGGGGAGAAGGTTCCAGCTGGTATTTGGAGGTCATTGGTTTTCACCATTTTGACACTGATGCATCTTTGGAATACATTGAATGAAATGTAATGTACAGGTAATGAAAAGCAGTTGGAGTACATATAATTGTAGAATTCCGATTGGTAAAAACAGACAATGAAGACAAAGCTACATCTAATGATTCAGCCTACATAATGTGATCTTGGGATAACCTAAAAGTTCAATTCTCCAATATGATATATTTACTACATCCATGTATAGCAAGAGCAAAGAAAGTACCAAACATTAAGAGTATTCTTAAAACTGAAATGCAAATGTTAGGGCCATCAAGATCTTATCAATGGATAGGCATTTTCAAATAATGGAAAGGAGAATAGTTACATAGTTTTATGAGTATGAAGACTATTCTTTTCCTTCTTGCTTTAACTCTGCCTAGATCATGCTATAAACCACGATTCACAAAAATGTTAATTTGAACTACTTTTTAAAGAATGTACTTCTTTTTAGAATAACAGAGTTGGAAGGCACCTTGGAGGTCTTCTAGTCCAACCCCCTGCTTGGGCAGGAAACCCTACACCACTTCAGACAAATGGTTATCCAACATTTTCTTAAAAACTTCCAGTGTT